GAACTTGCACAATCGGTGGCTGACTAAATACTTTTTTGCCCCACTGTATCTCTCGGCTGGCCTGGGAACCGCTTGGTGTTTCACTGGACAAGCCGGAGGTGGTGGCCGGGGAGAGGGAGGTCTGGGCTTTTCTGCTTAGGCTGCTGCCCCCGCAACACGGCCCCGGATAAACGCAAGAAGATGGATGGATATTCAGAAAATAGATTTAATGAATATTAGTTGTTTACTGTCATGAAAATAACATCCAAAATGTTTTATCTTTGGGTATTAATGTCATGCGGCCTTTTAACTGCATTTGTGTATGTTTGTTTAGTTGTCACTATACGCTAAAAGTCAGTATTATAAGTATATAAATAAATACATAGTTGGAATCTGCATATCTTTCAACCACTTTATGCCTGATGTAATAGCTCTGGTTGAAAGAATAACTACTCGCACATCACAAAACTGGTCAAGTTTTTGTGCAGCTGTGTTTTTGCAAACTAGCCACTAGAGGGCTTCTTGCGTCATTTATGAAACTGTGCCTGCACGCCAGGAGCAACTCAGGTCCCAGTAAAGGGATTTTCTTACATATACAGTTGTTACTTTTAAAAATGTGCCGTCACATTTAACTGTAAGGCAGAAACAGAAAGCCAGCTTGTTTCAATCATTTGCTAAAAGCGCACAAAAAAGGAGGAAAAAAACCAAAAAGCTTTATGTCCAGTAATCAACACATTTTTGCCACTGAGTAAAAGTCTGTTAATAACGGCACAGTTGTGGGTTTCAGCCTGAAGCACTTCTGTATTTGATGAAGCCCACATTTTAAAATGCTGCTTAGAAAAGAAATTCCAATTTAGAAGCTGAACAAAAGCAGAGCCTGGGAACCTTGAAAAAGAAAGACCTTCAGCATCTTAAAAGCCTTTATTTGTTGCACAGAACAAGAGAAGGAGGGAAAAAAGATTTTCACTGAGCTGCATGCACTGTGTGTTACTCACCTGGTGCAGGCACACGAGTGTGTAGAGGGCTTCTCCTGCCGCCACGGTCATCTCTGTGTTGTGTTTTTGCAGGACCAGCATGTCAAACACCAACTGAATGCACAGAGGACGGTGTGAGCTGGTGTGCATTTGTTTACTTATTAGTACTCCCCCCCCCTTTCTTCCTTTATAAAAGTTTTATTGTAATGCTGTCATGACAACATGAAGTGCGTATCGTACCTTGAGGAAATGACGGGTGGCGATAAAGAGAGGAGAGTCCTTCTCCTGGTTTTTAGCGCACTGTTCAGCCAGAGGAGACAGAGCCTCCAAACACAGCTGGCTGATTTCAGAACTCATCCTGAAACAGATGTTAAGGAGCACAAACTATTTTTACAAAATCATTTTTGCCTGTTGACAGGCTCGTCCACAGCTGCAGCAGGCAAACAGGAAAACGACTCTAAGTGCAAGAAAAGAACAAATCTCCTGTGGTGTGGCCTTCTGAGTATTTAGAAAGATTGTTGCCGTATTCCAGACAACATCTATGTCAAAAGTTCTATGTAATTATGCAGGCTACATACTGAACTTAAAGGATAGAAAAAGGATTGATCCTATTCCACTAGTATCAAACCGATATCAATACCAGCATTGAGATCAATGCTATCGATATTTGGATCAATCCGCCCACCTCTACAGCCAATATGTGGATATTCTACAGATACTGGATATTCTCTCATAAATCCCACCATAACAATCAATACTGCTGGCACAGCAAGAGGATACGAGGTCATTCCCAGCTCCAGGGAGAACATGAGGCTCTTGAAGAGGTCTTCTGGCAGCTGTGGGATCTTTTCTGGAAAGATCTCACAGATGAAGGTGATGAGTTTGTAGTACTGGTTACACAAAGAGGGGAACTGGAAAATAACGAGAACAGGATCAGCGTGAGCTCACATATGTCACAGACATGATATTATATCAATATATAAAGAGACATCCGTGATTATGTTTTACCTTGAGCAGGTCCTGAGACATGAGCGGAAGAACTATATTGACACCATAGAGAACGACATCTGCAGCGGATACTGTTCGATTGGATGCTGGTGTTCCCTGGTCTTGATTTCGAAACACATCATCTAGAACGCACAGCCACTTGGTCAAGTTTAAACTTTAGCAACGTCTTGTTTTTAAGAGGAAAAATATGCAAAATCTATTTTTTTAAAAACCTCACCTGTGTCGCTGAAGTCGATGAACTCTTTGGAGAGCAGGTTTGTGAGCAGCTCCATGATGAGCAGCAGGTCCTGGTACTGGTCCTCCTCGGCCGTGGCATCGCTTCGCTTCCTGCTCTGGTTGTTTTTGGAGTAGACCTGCAGCAGCGTTAGGCACGCCTCGTACAGCTTCATGGACTTGGTCTGAATCAGGAGTACACAAGTGACCACTATTACAACTGTGCTTCCATGATGATAAAAATGCTAACCTACAGCCTCCCAGTCGATGCCTCTATGGTATCAATGTGAAAACCCTAGGTGACATCTTTCTCAAGTGATTGTGTTTACAAAATCTTCAGGAAAACAGACCTCTGACCTTAGTCTTGAGGTCAGAGTCACCAAGTTTCAAAGTGATCCAAGATTTGCGTTAGATGGTGTCAAATTGAAATTCCTATGTTTGGTTGCCAGTGCAGTTTTTTCTTCTTCAGAAATATATTAAGTGAGTCTTGGACATACAGTTGGAGTTTGTTTCTATGCCAGATGGAAAACCACCAGCATTTTATACTTTAAAACCTTGTCTGCAGGTAACACAGTGGAAACGTCTCTCACCTCTCCCAGGTAACAGATCTGTTTGTGAGCCACTTCCACAAAAACCTCAATGATGAGGTTGATTGTTTCCGGTGTGTTACTGTAAACCTGGGTGAGAAAAAAAAAAAAAAAAAGGTGTTGTCAGATCAGATTCAGGTTTTAATTCAGCTCAATAGAGATTGACAGACCACGTGACTTTTGCGCATTGCATGCTGGGAACTCGTGGCAAAACAATCCAAGTACCGCATCAAATGCAAGCATTTGCAGCACCGCAAACCTTCATTCTCCGGTTCCAATAAATTCTTGCTTTTTTTTGCCCCCCAAAAAAGGTATGTACAAAACGAAGGAGAACAATTCTGGTCTGTACAAAGACAGACTCAACGAAAAGTTAAAGAAAAGATACGAGGAAAAATCAAAGGAGTGAAAGGGTCAGACCCTTACGAGCACACAGAGTGGACAAAAGACGTTAGCGTGCTGCCCAACTTTCACCACGCTCATATTTATAATCATACGGTTCTTGGAGTGAGTGCATACACTCATGAAGTTTAGTAACTTCAGGTCACTGCAACAAGCCCAGGTACAGTTTACCGACGGATGGGTGCAGGACCTTGAAATGCACCGTGTAGAACGAAAGACCATCGTACGTATCATAAGTTTACCAGTCTCACAAATCGTCGTCATAAATACACATTCGTTAACCGTTTATTAATAGGACCTTTGAGCTCAACGGTAATTAATTAGCAGTGGAAATAATTTCTGGTAGCATCACAGAAATGTAGCAGTGACAATAATACTGTATGCTGTAATCGTACTGGGCAATTAGTGATACAAAACAACTGTTTTATCCTGTGAATAAAAGTATATGTTTTTGTCAATGTACCATAATAACAGAAGCGAAACGCAATATTGTGTCAGGACAATTCACTATTTATGCACAATAAATAAAGGAGCATAGCGCGACCATTTCTGTTCAGCGCCAGACTTGCTTGTAACCTATATCACCAATTATGTTATGAAAATGACGTATTAACTACTACAAAACACTGACCTTCGTGTAAATGCTTGGAGCAGACTAACCTGTGAGCTGGAGTGTTCTGGGACGTTATATTTGATCTTTGAATGGCTGCAATCCAGGCCATCCGTCGCCTCTTTGTTACTTCGGAAACATGGCTCGAACAATTTCTCTTCAACGACGTAATCCGATAACAACCGATCTCTTTACCCGTCGGCTTCCCGTGGCTGTCATGCGACCGGCTATTGCAGTTAATAATACAACAGCTTCTTGACATTTTTGTGTTTCTTTTTATCGCTGTGTAACTGATTTCAATTGAAAGCCTGCGTGCGCTAGTACCTCTTGCCACGAGTTCCCAGAATTCTTTGCGGTTTTACCCCTGAATGACGTCACATTTTCAATCTCTATATCTACAGGGTTAGATTCTGTTACCTCCATGAGGCCAATGCAGCTGGACAGGAAGTCCATGAGGAAAGAGAAGAGTGAGGCCACGTTGTCGATCTGCGTCGCCTCTGCGATGCCACACAACGCCTCCAACGTAGCGACGATTTCCTGTTTGACAGCTTCTTCTTGGCTGATCTGAGCAAAGTTCTCTTGGTTGATGAGGTTAAGAAAACGCTGCTGGAGCGGGTGAAGCACCTGCAACGACAGGCAGAAGGTCAGATGGCGAGACAATGCATTAGAGCTACAGAGTATTTGACTATAATATAGAGTCACTGGCCACTTAATTAGGCACAACTGTTCAACTGTTGCTTGTTAGCAAAAAGCGCAGCAACCCATTGCACTTGCAGATACTGGCAAAATAACCTTCTTAAGTTCAACCGAGAATGGGGATGAAAGGTGGTTTATGTGACTTTAAACATGGCATGGCTGTTGGAGTCCGACGTGCTTGTTGGAGTGTTTGAGAAACTGCTGACCTAGCAGGATTTTCCCAACAAAACCGTCTCTGGATTTACAGAAGATGATCCACAAAAAAAGAGGAAATTCTCTGGGCACATATGCCTTGTTGATGTAATGTCAGGCTCACCAAATTTGGTGATGAGTCTCAATTTCTGCTGTGATGTTTCAGACTGGTGATGGTGTAACTGCATGGAGGATATTCAAGACCCTCCTTGTAACCCTTTAAAGGGTTTGTCTGAACTCAATCAAACAAAGTGACTTGAACAAGTAGGATAAAAGAGAATTTTCTGTCCATGTAAACAAACATCACTACAGTAGAGATCAACCAAAGCCGTGTTTGATCAGTTGTCAGGTGCTTCGCTCTACTTCCAAACACAGAGCGATCTGACTTCAGACAGAACAGCTGTACGGACCGACAGCTGCGACCTCACTCCTACACTCACCATAATTACTTTGGAGTCATTGTGGCTTTGCACCCCCGTTTACTACTGTCAGCTTATTAAGAAAAGGACCTCCAGGATCACGGCGAGGATCATGTTATACACACGGGAGAAAGACTAAACGCAGGAATATTATCGACTTCATCCATCTGTCCTAATCCTCATAGCTCACTGAACTCTGTGCAGCTCCTCATCTCTAAACAGGACTAAATAATTTGATATTTTTTTCGAAAGGATTTTTTGTGATTTTTAGAGCTGTAATGTTAAAAAAAATTTGCAAAAAGCTTTGGCTTGCTAGATTTGACAGACGATGCTACAAAAAGATAAAACTGTGCAAGACGAGAGAAGTAGTTAGAGAAGCAGGCTGCAAACAAACAGATCAAACCCACTTTATACGGGAAAACAACTTAATGCGTCACAAGCACTTGAAACAATTATCCGATGCACAGAGACACACACTGACTGCTTCTTAGCAACGCCGCTCATTACCAAAATGTCACGGCCTTTTACATTTTACTCTTCTGCTAATTCTCCTGTTTCACTGTACTAAGACTAAGACTTCATTTACTTTGCTTCCCCCCCCCCCAGTGCAACCACTACTACTAAACAATCATTAATCAGTAAATCACTTAAGTACTTCTACACGTATCAGCACACCTCAGCCCAGTACTGCTGCTTGGCATCAGAGTCCATTTGTGCAAAGCCTCCCAGGACCAGAGCCTTCATCAGAGTCCTCTGCACGGAGCTGGACAGCAAGTGGAGAGGTGGGCTGCGGCTGGCAAATTGCTTCGCCAGGTTCCACCAGCTCTCACACTGCACCACGATGTTTGCCCTGAATGGAGAGGGAGGCAACGGGTCTGTTAGAGTCTGACGATCCACTGTGACTCCTGCCCAGTGCTAACCAGAGAAAAGAATTGATTTTCTTATAAAAATCTGCATTTATCAACACAAGATGTGAAGGGAGATTTAATATTTTTGAAAAGCAAGCAAACATGCTCATGGTTAAATTATATGTGGTTATATTATGTGTAACAAATGTGTCATTGGGGAATGGGAAGGTCATCTAAACATTCAGTTTAAATACTGAACATTTATTTCCGATTACCTGAAAACATTATTTGTCTATCAAAGAGTAACATGTTCTTACCTCTCCCGCTTCTCTACCAGCGTCACCAGCAGCTCCACGGTGTCGTTGGCTAGCTCAGCCTCTGAGCTCCACACGGTCAGGTTGTTGATCACCTTTTCCAGGAGATATCCCACAATCCACTGGGCCCCCTCTGTGTCGGCACCAAACGCTGTGCTGAGGGGGATGCTGATCTGAGGAAGGGTAGAAAAGGATGAGCTGGATAGAAGACGACTGCCTGCTTTATGGCCATTATTGGGGAAAAATACCAACTGGTGCAAAAATGTGTATTACAGCGACAGTGTAGAAAAGATCTGATTGATGAAGCGATCGGTTAGCTCAGCCTTATACCTGCCCATAGAGCTTCTCGTCCACGAGCAGATACGTCTTAGCCCATCGTCTGAGGAACCACACGATGTCCTTCCCCATTTGCGGGCTCAAAAGCTCCGTCAGATTCGCTCTGGTTGCCCTGGACTCCACTTCTGACGTCCTCAACACTGCTGACAGCAACCTGAAGGCAAAGGAAGTTGGATTTAGAGCTTCACCGCCATCTTTTTTTTGTTTTGTTTTTACAAATCCTATCCGTTAACAGCACCTAGAGGTATATTTGTCACACAAAAGCACCCTACACAGGTTTCACAGGTAGTCCAGCTCCACCAGGATGGCATATCAACATCAGACGTTTCCGTGTGGACGACACAGCTGCGTTTTCAAAAATACCCGTGTAGGTGCGGACGTAGCGTAAAAGAGTTAGTGGTTTATTTTATTACTACCTGCAGATTACTTGTATTTGCTTAATTGTTTACTAAATGTTTGAGGTGTGAAATAAACTGCAATGGAGCAAAATATGTGTGTGTGGTCGGACGATGTGTTAGTGCGTGCGTGTGTGTGTGTGTGTGTGTGCGCAGGGGGGGCGGCGTGAACATTTTTCTGTAAAACAAAGGGGGGCCCAGCGAAAAAAGTTTGGGAACCGCTGCTCTAATGAGTCCATATAAGCAGACTGGCATTTGTCATTGATTACCAGAATTGGCAGGTCCACCACTGGCACGCTGTGCTTTTCACACACTGAGCAGAAGTGACAGATGTGAAAAGGTCTCGAGAAACCACGGAGAACGTCACGCTTGTAACCGTTTAACATGGTTCAGCATGTTCAGTGTCTTTATTTCTATCCATTTTGAGATGGCCAATAAATATATCAATGTTGAATATACAGCTCTGGAGGAATTAAAACGCAACAAGGAGACTATGGAGAGACTGTGTAGACACTTTATACTTATACCCTGTGCACAGGCATATTTAATGCCTGGCCATTGATTTTATTGTTAGCAACGAAATTATACCCCACCGCTACAGCAAAATGATCACATATCAGCTGATGATCCTCTTGCTGCCCGTGTGTTAAAGAGTAAGCTTCCCAGTCCACCCCCACACACACACACACACATACACACACACACACAATACAAAAGGACAGAGAGACAGAGGGCTTATAGCAGCTTACAGGAGGACAGTGCACAGTTTCACATTGTTTGCAGAAAACAAAACCACGCTGACATTTATGGGGCTGGGGTCGCCCGCTCGCTATTGGGAAACCTGATGCCATCAGCCACTCATATCTGCAATCCACCACACACACACTTATACACAATGAACAATCTAGAAAAGACAACATCACCATGACCTTCAACAGACAATATCAGTGGCTGCTGTGAATGTCTATTGTCGTCACTGTGATTACACACACACACACACACACACACACACACACAAACACACACACACACACACACACACAAACACACACGAATGCCTTTAAACAGACGAGCATCCAGTGCAATGATAAAGCCTCCGAGCAGCCCAAGGCTCCCAACACTGCAAGCTGCACAGCTAATAGATGCTAAAAAATAAATCCTATCCGGTAACAGCACCTAGAGCTATACTTTGCATGCTTGAGCGTATTTAATTATCTGCTGGTGTATTTTTAGCACCAACATTTTGCACTAATGTACAACAATCCCAGAGTAACCACAGTGCGACACAGAAACTAGAAAAAATGAATGAGGTGCTGCCGTCGTAAAAGAAAAAAAGCTGGAAACATCAGCCACCCTCAGTAAAAACTCAAATATTTGTGAATTACACTGATGCATGTTTTGTCATACGTGTGCATTTATATTTAAAAGAGTCAAAGGAGCTTGCAAAGAAAAGCGTCTGGACTTCTTTAAGTTACTTGAAGACGTTTCACCTCTCATCCGAGAAGCTTCTTCAGTTCTAAGGTCAAATGGTGAGGTGCAAGCTCCTTTGACTACGATGACCTGGATGACTGAGAACCTTCACAGATATATTTAAAAGAGTTTGTCTGGACCGCCCAACATTAAACTATCGTATTACCACAGTACGTGTTCCTGTGTTTTTACAGCTCCACATTCAGACCTGAGTGAATGCAAAGAAACGAGCCCACCTTGAGATTTATGGGACAATAACGGTGACAAACTTTGCGTCCAACTAACTCCCGGCAGTGAGGAAACTGCACGTAGAGAGGGAGGCTTAGACTCAACACACAGTTTAATCTGTATGAGTCCAAAGATGTGATATCAGAATTATAAACCTGCAGTCAAAATGCAACAATCAACAGCTAAGCCAGAAGAGCAAGTAACAGCGTACCACAGCTCAACTTAAGATACTTAAAATTTTTAATAACATCTGAAAAAAAATGTGAAGGCCATGACAAAAAAACAAAACAAAAAGCAAACAAACATGAAATAAACAGAGTGCAATACCTGATCACAGTGTCTGTGCGGTTGCAGCCCGGTATGGACGAGGCCTTTTCTCCCGGTGAGCCGAGGATCTGCAGCGTTGTATTGATATCCACCTCTGTTGAGTGTTTGATGGAGAACTCCATCACCTCTGAGGGGATCAGCGGGGTTTCACCCTGAGGATCGTCTGCTAGTAGATAACCTAAAGAGCACAGACAGGTACAGGTAGCCACGTTGAAGCCTGCTCATTTTACTATGAGGGTAAAAGTGAAGTGAAGAAAAAATGAACAGTTTAAGCTCTAACTTTGGCTTTTGTTTCATTTCCAGTCTTCTATGTTTGTAACTGGAACATTTTTTGCTCTTAGACTGTTAAAGGTTGGACTGTGATATATTTGCCAGAACATTCAATTTTTTTAAAGATGGAGTGTTTAATGAACCTTCTGATGAAATTATAACAAAAAAATTAATGATTATTTATTGTGTCAGCCACATAGACTCCCATGTTAAATGTTCTAACTTTACCACAGAAAAAAAAAAACCATGTTTACAACCTGACACAAGAATACCATTTTGGTCTCTCCAACTCATTCTTCCTTGATGCTAACAGTACAGGGAATACATTTTTATATACCCGACTTACGCTGTAGCTGCTTTAGCTAATAGGTGCACTGAAATAGGTCGCCTTATAAGGCAGTCACCTTCATTAATCAAATGACTGGGGTCTTAAAATGTGCTTATGGTGTTGGTTACGACCCTAAAGCTAAACTAAAGCTGTCAAAATGCAAGCTAAACAATTAATTAATTTAATTAAAATTAATATTATAAATAACTGCGAAGTAGCAGCTATTTATCAAAAATAAAATATGAAAACGGCATGTCAAAAACAGGCACAGCTCTACTTTCTCAGGGCTATAGGGTGCTAATTGTTTGTAATAACTGAAAAGAGACAAATTTAGTGCAAAAAAAGTGTTGCATGCATGAAATACACTTACTCTGAACTCGTTTTAAATTTAGATTTGAGAGAAGAAGAAAAAAGGAGTCTCCTTTTGGGACACTTGTCAACCCTGCCTGAATGGTAATACAGAGAAATTCACAATAATGGCTACAATATTTCATTAATTAAACCCACAGACTGGGTGGGGTTATGTTCTTCTGTCCTACTAACACATAAAGCCATTAAATGGAAAAAAGCTGCACTGGAAAAAACATTTATGAGAACTTATTAAACAGCTATATTCTTTTCTACGAGAACATCAGATGGCTTCTCATTTACTTTCTCAAAGTGTATTCAATACTATGTGTGCATGTATTATTTTTGATCTTGGGAAGTTTGCACTGAACCCCAAACACTGGGAAACTACTCTCTACTCTCAGAAACAACCACCGTGAGGTAATGCAACAGTGCTGGATTTACAGTAACTGCAGGTTCAGAGAGGAGGGGGGAAACTGTATAACCACACACAAACGCAGTATGAGTCAATCTGTTTTTCGTAATATTTCTGTCCCGCTGCTGACCTGAGACCAGTATGAGCCAGTGAATGTCCTCATATAAGTCATCCAGGACTTTACGGTCCACTGATCCAAGGTCAGACAAGGCCATAAGGTGCTGCTGGGTCCTCTGCAGCTGGCCGTGCAGTCGCGTTACTCGGTCCTCCAGCAGGCTGCAAACAGGTCAAAATGGAAATATAAAAATAGAAACACAAGCAGTGCAGCACTTAAAAAAACCCAAAAAGAATACAAAAAACTAACCAGATAAAGAAACAATCACCAGATCTGTAATCTGAAAGAGGTCACACCAGGTCGAGCTGGTAAGCTGCTGTGTGTTTACCTTGTGAGCAGAGGGATACAGTGGTCAGCTGCCACACGTCCCAACATGCCAATGCTGGACAGCTGGTCTGAGAACAGCTCTCTGTCGTCTTCCTGCAGCTCGTTGATCTCTTCCTCATCGTGAGAGGAAATCCCGTTCACCGACTGAGCGTGGTTCAGGAAATGTGTGAGATAAATAACATGTTGACCAGTCCAGTGTTCTTCGTGTACAGTAAAGAAAAAGGCTCACCAGGTTGCGCGTGCCGTCGGGAGCTGCCAAGTGACACTGGATGTATGAGTTGAAAACTTGGATGGCTGGCTGCACGAAGCACCCGCGAGGGAAATGCTCCTCGTCCTGCACGAGCGTTAGCCACGACTCCAGCAGCTTGTCATAGGCCTCCATGTAAACCATGTCATCCTTATCCAGCTGAAATTTATTATAAATTCATTTTAAGCAAAATTGGAAGGCCTGTGAACACTTATTACCGCAAACTGAACTCTAAAACCTTTCTCTGAGAACTGGATTCGATGAAGAGGGGTCGAAACTCACCACTTCCTCCAGGGCGGCGCTGCGTCCAAACGAGCAGGTGAGCAGCGTGAGGCAGTTGATGAAGGAGGTAAAGAGGTCGCTGGGCAGTGCCGTTAAAATACTCCGTGGGAACATGGTGATCAGATTGGAGATGATATTAGAAATGCCGACTGCCTCCGAGTCCTCGATCTCAATCCTGAGAATGAGGATAATAAACTTTATGAGCTAACAGAGCTACAAATATGCAGCAGATTCATCTTTAAAGCCATAAATCAAGGTTTACTGTATCTGCTGTGGGAATACCAGCAGAAAATAAATGAAAGTAAACGTGATGCACATTTCAAACACTTTCAAAAAGCATCTGTTTAATTTTCAGTTAAAATCAGTGCTTTGGCCCAAGAAAGGCCAGTTTCCACTCCACAGGGTGAGGCTGAGGCCGAACTAGGGGTCACTTTCCGAGTTTCCCTGCTGGTGACGGAGGTTTGGAAACACACATGAAAGTTGATCCTTAACCAAAACTCGTGGGCAACTTGACCCCTGAGCTGTTTTCCACAGCTGCATCGGAGGTTATTTTTATAGTGTTTCAGCATCAAACACCACCACGCACGCACGCTGCAAGAATTCAATTTCAAAGAGCATTTTGTCATCAGATTGCACTGTGAAGCATGCCGTGACGGGACACACTGGAAATCATACTTTCCTCACATGCTGAATTCTGAAAATGAGATTTGAATGGTTTTAAATCAGTTTAAAGTGGGAAGAAAAAAGGACACGTGATAATGTCTTATTTCAAAAGGTTGTCAAAAAGGCAAAAATAAAGCAAAAACAAAGGCCTTTAAATTTTTATTGTGTGTTAAGAATTTTAAAACTTATGGCTGGCCATTTATCCAACTCTGAAATATGTCCCATCTTTGTGAGTGTTATGGAAAAAAGAAGAAGCTCCACATGAACAACATAACTGATGAAACCAGGCTGGAACGGTTTCTCCAAAAAAAAAAAAAAAACCTTCCTACTTAAAAGCAATACTTCTCTACTTAATAACAATAATATAAAGGTGCTGCAAAGGGAATTTTATATACAGTATCTTTTTAAAACAACATCCTCGTGTCAATTGTGAGCATGAAGGCTTTTTAAAAACTAGCTGTACTGATGTTAAAGAGTTTTTGAAATATTCTGATAATATTTAATAATTATATCTCAACCAAATCATGTAGTGAGGAGGACATTAGACCCTCATAAACTTTACAGTGTACAGACATGCTTGGCTTGCTACCAACATGTGTGTTGGGCCCTTTATACCATGCTATAAGCTTTTGCTTACCCGATGTAATAAATGTCCAATTAAAGTATAATGAAAAGCCGCAGCGCCACTCCAAACCACCCTGAAGATTTCTTTTAATGTATTTGCACCTTCCTTGTGTTGCCTTTGCATTTGAGCTGACACACCTCTCCACACTCAGACCAAGTCAGAGAGTAACATTGTTAGAGAGCCTAGCCAAGGCCTCTCCAATGGACTTAAATTGCGAGCAGAACCGTTCAATCGATGTAGCTCGGCCGTCCCTCTCCACATGGTTTTCCGATGAGGCAACTGGAAAAAAGCTCCAAGAATAGGTCATTACAGTGAGAGTGAGAGTTGCTGAGAGGAGGAAAAAAAGAAAAAAGATAGAGACCCCTCCTCACTTGGTCACATGGTTCAACAGCGAGCATGTGTGTGCATTATGTGTCTGATCTGCACATACAAGTGCACCAATTTAATTCACATCAGAACCACAGTGACCTCACATACACCCACAATTAAATAGAAAACTTTTCTAGTATACTTTTTCAGACCCATGTATCACTTTGATGCAAAAACCCTAATTAAAAACATTACTGTGTTAAAATTCTTTTTTTTTTATATATGGCGACTTCTATTAATGGTTAATGCTAACATAAAGAGTGCAAGCCTGGTTACTAAAATTACCACCAAACTAAAGTATTATTCAGTATAAATATAGAATAAATGTAACTAAGTAAATGTGGGTTTTTTGTATGAATTGATTTTAAGCTTGTTTGGGCTAAAAACTAAAAAGTGATAAGCTGAAACTCAGTGAAACAAATGCTGACTGAGGTGAGTAAAGCTATTCACATTGATCTTAGATTTCACGTATTCAAATATTAATCAGTGCCTTAAAAAAAACAAAGTATCTGATTGACACACTTTGGTATTAGAGTCTTATTAAAGCGAAACACTTGTGATGCAATTTGCACAGAAACTCAAACCAGCAATTACAGTAAAAAAAATCAAATAAACTAAAGCAAGAGTGTAGTTTTTAAAAGGAGTACACGGCTTGGAGTGATTCCACTGTTTTGTAGCCAAAACAAGTCAAATTGAGGTCGAGGTCCAAACATATCAGATTTTTTGCCAAGACATAAAATCTTTAATTATATTCTAAAAAGACCAGGAAGAGAGGCGGAAACCTAAAAATAGGAGTAACTGGATCTCATCTATTGCCTTATTTATCCTCTTATTGTTAAAAGCAGCTGCACTCTGAACCAGACTGCACTTCATTGGAATTAAAACAGTCCCGGCTGGCACAACGACAAACCTGAAACCCTTCCTGAAGCTCATCGACATTCTGAAGGCCGCTACAACTCAGAAATTTTTATTCTGGAAATTTCATCAACTGATAATAAAATATAAAACCTTCACTCATTTCGTTTAAAAAAAAAAAGTCCAAATCTGGGTCAAAATTATTTCTCACAAAGGGCTCAGTAATAGTTTGAAATAACTTAAATTTCCCATCAACGCTCGCTACAACACGAAAACAGGTCCCATCTTCATTGAAACATTCAAGCATTTAACCTTCTCAAAGTGATTTAAATTGGGCAATCAGGCTGCAGGCATTTTTAGGGTTTTCAGAGAGAATAGGTTAGGCATCGCTGACCCAAAGGTGAAAGATCCAATGCTAAAATTCTGATGAGGCATATTACCCATAAAAACTAAACTATGCTAATTATAAAAACCTCTTGATATCTAATAGTTTGAATTTTCCTAGAGAACAGCTAGAGTACTTGAAATTTACTAGAGAAATATCCTATTAAAACATTTATTACCATATCCTATTCACATTTAAGAACAAACATAAGTCAAGAATATTTGAATTTATAGGACTCTCACAGCTTAATCACATGTGTCCTTTAATAGTTGTGGAAATTCATTCTTCCACTTGACAGTTTTTCTTTTTATTATAACATTATAATATAATTTTTTTAAGTCCCATCAGTTTTACAAAGTGAATCTGTTAAGAAAATCCAATTAGAAATCATCAAAACGCTGTTTTAGAAAAAGGTTTGACTGGAAACATTTTTTCTAAATGCTGCAGTTTACAGATAGTTTTCATTAAAAATAGTCTGATTAAAGTGGAAGGTTGAAATCCAAGGTTAATCCAGCCAGGATGCTAACTAAGCGAGAAAAAGATGAATCAGTAGTCGAATTATCTGCAGCGATCGTTGGGTTTATCAGTTTGTTGCAGAGAAGATGAAGATAAGAACTACGTGTGAAGGCCACTGTTGTAGGTGAAGGATACATATTTGATCATTTTTGTTCATATAATCTCTAATGAAAGTATACGAACTGATCCAAAACATAAGAAGTAATCAGGAGTTTGGTAAGATCCAGCACCTGTGTTACGCACTCAGCAGTGTGTGACACTGGCTCTCCTACACTACACATCCACTGAAACAATCTGACTAAAAATGTATTTTTTCTAGAAAAAAGAAAATGATTTCAAGGTTGTTCCAGTGTGCGGATTTTCTCGTTTGCATTTTGAATCATAATCAATTAGGCAAACAAGGAATTTGAAGACAACACCTTGGACTTAATGACTTAATGTTTTGGTTCTCTGTCATTTTATAGACTGATTACATTAATATAAACTGAAGTAGTAAAAACAACAAAACAACTATTTATACTGGGACAAGGCTCAGACTGCCACTGGTTTCAGTCTGAAACCCAGCTTCAGCTTCTTAACCAGTAACTCTTGTCCCACCCTGCTGCTAAAAGATGGAGAAGTAACCTCTTTCAGTGCATCCTTCCCAATTCCAAAACACACTGATTGGCTGAACCCAGATGCAGAGACAATCAATAGCCTCGCAATATTCACCACAAGATCACAAGCTCTACACCTTCACAGGAGCACTGCTAACAAGCAGGTTCCAAAACAGGAACCCCAGACAGAGGAAGTGCTTTGGTTTCCACACACCTGCCAGCACAATTCATTGTGACAGCTGAATAGAGTCAGCCAAGGAATACAGCATAAATTAGAATCTGCTTGCATATACATTGGTCTCCGCTTGGAGATTAAAGAGGGCTTTTTTTGTTAGATGTGGTCTTATCCAAAGGTAGACATACACACTCGCAGGTTACTCTGGCAATAAATCCTTGAAACCAGACTCCCAGATTATTTTGTTAGAGAATGTCACAAGGCAAGCGCTGCATTACCTCTGACTGGAAGCTCTGGTTACGGAGTCATGACTCAACCAAAATTACAACCCTATAGGATGTGGCTGGAAACATCTGTAGTAAAAAGGCTGAAAAAATGTGAAGCACTGAGGCAAGCACTGGCTTTGAGCTGAGCTCCAGGAATGAAAAACACGTATAGACTGCACTGATAATAAGCTGAACGCTGGAACACTCAGTTTAGTCTAGTGGAAGCTGCGTAATATTCTGGTGCATCTCTTTCTTTACAACTAATGAAGACACAGTACTTCTGACAACAGAGCAAATGCTACCTCCAGCTTTCACATTTGCAAGCAATAGAAAAGACATTTCGATTATAGAATAAGATGCTCGTCTGTGGCTGACCAAAAACCTTAAAACAAAAGCTGCGTTATCTCACCTCTACACTATGGAAAGTTAATACTAACATTCATATCATAAAATTTGATTGGAAAAATGTGCTATTATAAAATAAAATCAGGCTTATTTTCCTTTTTACATGAAGTATCCTTTTCGTTTTAGTCCTCTGTTCATATTTTGACTTCACGCTCTCATGTTGATGGGTTGGATCGGTTAAATTAATTTAAAAATACAGATAAAGCAGGCAATCTGATTGAAACGATGTGCAAAATCACTCAAAATAGTCGCATTTACTACATATAAAACATCCACGACAGCAGACGTATCTTCTTACAGTTCATATGGTCTGTTGTGATTTACATAAACCCTTTTGTTTGCTTGTACTTAGTACGAATCAGGTTATTCAAATAAAAACAAAAGGTTTTAAACTGTAGGGAGAGAGATGCTAAAAGGGTTTCAACACGAGCTGCCCAGCTGGAATAGGCAAGCAAACCACATCAGTTTTATTACAGGGTCAGGCAGTTCTGTATTAGACTAGAGGAAGACTATAAAACTGATACAAAAAACACACCCATACCCGGTATTTTCCAGTGTTCGAGAGCTCGCTAATGTCAGTTTTTGTCTTCTTTGGTTAAAAACGTGTCTCCGTGAGAAGAATAAAGGGATAATTTAATCCACTTCGACGTAAATTTAGTTTAAGAGGAATCTGAGAAACATAAGTTACTAGTTTGCTGCATTTGTCACTGAACTGGAAGCCAGTTTCCTGCAGAGCGCGCAGATGCTACAATCAGAGGCTGTTAAAACAGAGACTCAACAAGCAATTACTTCCTGTAAATAAAGCACAAATGGTACAGTATGAGTCACGCTTCTGCTGACGTTGGCCTCCATCACTTGTTGAGTCTCTAAATTTAAGAAACATGACAACCTTGAGATACTGGGGGGAGATAAACAGCTTTTGAGGCTGTCACCAAGGATAATGTAACCACAACAGTGCTTGCTGCTACTGTTTTGTGCATAATGTGCTGTATTCAGCCGAAATGATGCATTTTAGATGGAGTATTAAAATTAAATCTGCAGACTTTCAGCCTTTGTAACACAATGCTCTTCCCAGTTCTCTCCTGGTTTATCTGCTTAACCATCTGTGTGACTGATGTAGATAAAGGTAAATAGCTTTTACACTGTAGACACACTTTATTAATGGAGCAAGACAAAGATCATTTGTAAACTCAGTAATTCACCCTTAGATGATTTGAATGCTTTTAATGTGTGTTAATGTGTTTTTTTTAAGTTTACATATTTTTGGAAATGCACGTGCACAATAGGAATTATTTAATAAAAGGAAACATCATTTAGTGCAGCTCGTGGTCAGTGTGTATTAACCTTGCGATCTATGGGGAAGCTACTTTAACATGGAGCCTACAGCACAAAACTTACTTATTATTGATAACAACACTCTGTGCTTAAAATTTAATGCGGAAAGAGTGGTCACCATAGAGACTGGCCCAACTTAATGTGGTTTACATTCAGCAGCCTGCAGCACCTGATTAGCAAGTTAGAGTGCATAATTGAAAAGAGTGCATACTTTGCAAAATCTAATGTGTTTTAAATGGCAAAGCTAACATGCTCATCTTAGTAGGTACAATAATCACCATGTGGAGCAGATTAGCAAGCATGCAAGCTAACCCTTTCTGAATAACCAAAACAAAATGCAAAGCACAGATAAGGCTGATGGCACTGGCAGAAAATTCTGACCTTTACTTGGCTTGCTATCACATTGTGGTTTATAACTTAAATCCTTCACAAATCAATGACATTCAACTGACCGTCGGACATTACGATTCTGCTAACATGGCTAAAACATCTGACCGGTGTCAATGTTTCTCAATAACAAGAATTCAATTTGGTATCTACTTTTGATACATTTCTCCATACCTGTGCCAAAATTCGACTTCAATACCTCAACACAAGCACATAAACGAAGACTACTGCAGTAACTATTATAGTCACTCACCCATTGATCATACTGAGCAGCCCCTCCATCAGGTGGGCCAGGTAAGAGATCTGGGCGTTCTCATCTGGGAATACAGGCCCGTGCATGGAGGCCAGCTGGGCCAAGCACTGAAGGGAATCCTGGGCCATGTCAGAGTCCTCTCGAATCTTCCTGTGTACCTGAACAAGAGGAGAATTTCTTTTTATCATTGTTTTTAAAGTAGAAAAGCAGAGCCTTCGCATAAAAAGGACAGAACCTCTACAATAATCAGTCCACAATGAAGCAGTGAGTGCTCTGGATAACGAAGTACTCCTGTACAGCAAACGTACGGAAAAATGCTGAACACCGTCTGTCAGCTTTAACAATTTAGTGAAGAAGAAAAGATGATCTTTTTCATCAGTCTTCATCAGCCAAAAGAAAACAAAAGTTTCTTTTGGACTATACACATGATCAAATATTAATATAACCTAGAGAACAACAATCTTGAGCAGCGCTTGAACACACTTGACCTGCCCATATGGAAAAGAAATAGAAAAAAACTTATAAAAGACTTGCATCAGATGTGGACTACTTCATATAGTGACTCATAGAAGGCTTATATGATTTACTCATGAAAGTGGCCACTTTCATATATTGTTTTAGTAAGCATCCAAAACATACAAGTTTCATTTATATAATTTTCTAGGGATCTTATATCTGTTTTCACTCTTGTATGCTTTTCACACAAGACAGATACAAACTTTATAAGCTTTATATAAATCTTTTCAAAAATTGGTGGGCTTGGCAAAACCTATTAGTCTGATTATTTTCTCTTTCTTTTAACTTAGGAATGATATTCCAATTATTCAAAAGTCATTGCAAATTACTGTGAAATTATTTTTCACCTAAATTTCAACAATATTATTTATTTAAATTATTATTATTATGTTCATCGTCAGACCTTTCTGGCAGGTTCAAGAACAAAAGCCCACGATAAGTGTCTGACCAGTAAAATGTAGTCTGTTCCTAATAACAAACATAACCAACCATCCCAGGCAAGATTGTTGTGGCACAACCAAGTGACCTGTAAATATACTGACCTGTAATATTTTCATAAAAGACAAGCAGCACGCAGCATTCATGAATACTTAGACCGACCGTTCACATCCTCTATGGACCATTTTCTTAGATTTTTTTTTATGACAGCGCTATTGACAATATGTCTTACCCATCAGAAGTTTAATGATAATGATTTCTGAAATAATATCTAATCAATGTGTGACTGTTATGTCATAATTAAACACTGCCCGTGGCATTCTGCATTTTAATAAGTTTTTATTCTTAAAATTAAACTGCAATGTACCAAACACCACTTTGAAATAGAAATGTCTCAGGTCAAGAATAAAAAGGTGAACCTGCCTCATCCTCCTGTCCCCAAAAGCGAACCCCCCCCCCCCCCATACCAGCTGATAACCTGCAGGATTTATACTCACTGGTGTAATCCCACTACACAGCACACTGAAGCGTCGTGAAATGGCGAATTGATTGTGATCTGTCACTGTGACCCAGGTCTCAAACAAACAATGGCTGAGCGGCCTCAATCAAAATAGAAGAGGAAGAAACAGACTCCTGATGGGGGAGAAAAACAACGAAAACTAAACTGGATGATTCAGTCTCAGTTGCGAGCTTCCATTCAGTTGTGGGATTCGAGGGTTGGTTTGTTGTTTAAGGTCACACTTCAGCAAGAGAAAAAGCATTATTGGATTTGACTGTGCATGCAGACAGGCAAGTGTATGGCAAAGCAGCAGCAGTAAAAGCTCTGAAAGTCATCACAGCCTCTCAGCAACATGTGTTTCCACTATGTGCACGTCTGGAGCTCAAATTCCTTCTTCCTGTGCGCTGTGGCTCTCTTCTCAGCCGGTCCGGGCTCTTTTCCTTTTTCTTCTTCTTCTCCGGTCTCCTCAACTGTCATCCTCTTAAATCCAGAGAGAGTGCTCCTTCATCAACTCCACACTCTTAAACCAACACATGGCCCCATCGCTGAGGCAATCAAACTTTCAACCTCCCTCTCTCCTTTTGCTGGTGCTTCCTCCTCCTCCCCTCAAATGTTCTCCCCTTCTTGCTTCCCCCCTAAATTCTTTATCGCCCCTTCTCCCCGCTCCTCCTCTCTTCTCTTCCCTACAGCTGTGGTGTCCGTTTTGTCGTAAGCCGCGCTGCTGGGAAGAGATCTCAGATGCTAACGTAGCATAACGTTAGTCCTCTCCGTCGCTGCCCTCTTCCAGAGCATGAAGTCATCCTCTGGAAGAGCTCAGCGAGAGGACAGGGGAGGAGGCGAGAGGGGCAACTGGTGAGTGAGCGAGAGAGAAAGAGGGAGGGGTGTAAGAGGCAGACCCAAGCGAGACCCAAGGACTGAACAGCGCGAGCTCTGAAAAAGCAGCTGCACCAGCGACTGAACCATGCGATGTCAGTAATGTCAGTCGCCTCGACTCTGACTATAAGTAGAGATACTCAGCGAGCACGTGCGAGTGAGTGTGTGTGTCCGGGGGGAGTGGATGAAAGCAAGGAGAGCTTTCTGGCACAGGTGATTTTCTTTATTTTGAGGAATATAAAAACACCCCTTATCAGTATATTAGGGATAGCTCGCTATTTAAACGAATCTTAGCCAGTTTAATAAAAACTCTATTCCAAAACAAAAGATCTTCTTTCAAAAGGTTGTAAAGTTCAGTTTGTTCACATCATTTTAAATGGGAACAGGCTATATAATAAACTGATAATCAACCTCCATCCTCCTGAATTTCTGTGGATCCAGCATTTGGCATCTTCTGTTAGTGAGTTCTCATTCCAATTTAATAAGCTCCAAGGCTACGAGAATCTGTTATTGAAGCATCGCATCCCTCCTTGCTCCGTCTTTGTCCTTTAACTTCAAATCGTGATTAAAAGAAAATGAAAACATCCCAGGGAGGTAAACCGGGCAAACGAAGCAGAGATAAGCAAAGATTTGATTTGCTGTGGCCAAAATCCCCCCGGCACCCCCATACTTCAATTAACTGAATTGGAATTGGCCATGATTTGGATTGTGTTAACAATCCAATTCAGGGTAACAGATTTATGGTTCACGACTCACAAATCAAACCAGAAAAAATAAAGAAAGAAATGCGCTCCTGACACCTTTGGCCTTGAAATATGCACATTCCTCCTCTGAAAACTGCTCTTTTGCCATTTGTCTGTAGCTGGGGACCCAGCTCTCATTGCTAATAATGGTCCTCGACATGAAAGCGGGGTCATTTTGACAAAGAACTTTGTGCCTGATGCATTTTCAGGTCTATTTTAAATTTGCAGACTGGAAGTACAAAAAGAAATTGACTTTTAAGGAGCACTAATACAGTCCAGAGGTAGACAAGGAGACGACCCTCAAGGGACTATTAGACAAATTTAAATCAGGTATCATTTTTATACTCAGCTTTAGAAAACTACTTTATGTTACGAAATGGGAGGGTGTAATATCGCCGCGCTGACAAACACTAATAATCCTTGATTATTCCATCACAAATTAAGCACATAAAACATCTCAAGTTGATTCAAAGTCTTGAACTTTGTTTGGTTGTTTTTCCAACACTCTGACGCCCAAAGAGATGCTGCTGCATGTGAAAGAGGCCATCACTACACTGAAAAACAAAATAAACCTATCTTAGCAAAAACTTTGGAGGGGCAAATCAATCTGGCAGATATCTTAAAAATGTGATGTTCACTGATCAACTCGCCAACATAAAAAGGCCTTAAAAAAGACCATAGAAGACAACTATAGGAGATGATTGCAAATTCCTTCCTCGGTTAAGAAAAAAACCCTTAACAAGAGCTAGCCAAGTCAAGAACAATCTGCAGGAGTATTAAGATCCACAATAAAGAGACGTCTACATGACTAGAAATTCAGAGGAGTTACAAAGTGCAATCCATTGGTTACACTCATGAACAAGGACGGCAGATTAAATATCACCAGAGAACATGTAAAAGAGGCTGAAGAGCTCTGAAAAATTCTTTCAACAGACGAAACCAAGATCAAGATGTACCAGAATGATGGGAACCGAAAAGTTAGGAGGAGAGAAACAGGTCTAGATCCAAAGTGCAGCACATCATCTGTCAAACATGGTGAAATCAGTGATAAGTGGCAGGGGAATGTATGGCTGTAAGGAGAACTGGACCACAACTCTTTATTGAAGATGTGACTGCTCATAGACGTGTACAGGGCTATACTCTGCTCAGATTCAGTCAAATGCTGCAAAACTGACTACATGATAATAAGATTAAACGATAACTGATGAAACTAATCTATCAACCATCCAATAAAAGTAACACTTAAAATATATTGTTATATAAGTTCAAGTTCAAATTTTATTCGCCACATGTAGTGACAAGTTGCCCTGCAGTGGAATGAATAAAGCTTGTTGCTGATCACTAGCACGACTGGTTTCTAGATTTATCAAATATGAAATCCTGACTGCAATACTCCCTGTAGTGGAGATTATCATTGATACACTGAAGTTCAAATGTATTTACTACTACATATTTTGACAAGGCACCAAACCTCGACTTTCATTAGAGCAGCTCTCATTAGATTAAACAGGATTCCAACTCCAAAACACACGCTTTTCAGTGTATATCAAAGTACCAAGCTTCAACACCTGACACTATCGTAGATAAATTATGTAGCCAGGGAGAGAAGAAAGAGTGGTAGAGTGGGGTGAGGAAGACGAGAACCAGCAAAGAGAAAAAAATGAAAGAAAAGGACAGGTAGACAAGACGGGGAGAGGATGCAGACGAAGAGCAAAAGAACAGACAAAGAAAAGGAGTGGGAGAAAGGGAAAGGCAGGGAGAAATGAGGAATGGTATTTATAGAAGGAGACAAAGCCTGGTGTCTGTTACCTCAGGGGGCTCAGAGGCTCATCTTTCTGTTTTTTCAAATCAACACAGTGCTCCCAACTTATTGTCTTCGCTCGCTCTTTTCCACCATCACTCTCTCTTCCTCCATGTCTCAGATTGGGTTACTGTCTGCCCGCAGGCCTCTGCTGCAGCCTCATTAGTCCCTGCACTCCACACTGATTGTGTTTACTGGTAAACATGTAATGCTTTAGCGCATGCAGGCTTTTTACTTCCGTCTTTGTGGGTGTCTAGTTGGCATGTGAACGCAATTTCATATCCCAGT